TCCCAGGATCCCATCCCGCACTTGAAGAGGGAGATGAAGCCGTAGGCCTCCAGCATCATGCCCAGGATTGGCCAGCGCATCAGGACCACCACGAGCCCCCCGAAGAAGAAGCTGGTGCCCTTCAGCTTGGGCCGCTGGAAGAAGAAGGTGAAGGTCCTCCGGAAGCCGATGATGAAGACCAAGCCGGAGAGGAAGAGGAGCTGGCAGGAGGGAGGGGACAGGGTCAGGGCAGCTCCTTGATCCGGCCCTGGGGACCCCCGGCCCGGCCCTACTCACGTTCCCAAAAGCCAGGAGCACGGCGTCAAAGTACAGGAGGATCCCAAAGAGGAGGAAGAAGAGGCCGAAGCCGACCAGGCCCACTCCGATCCCTGTGGAGAACGGGAGAGCAGAGGCAAAGGCTCGGCTCCACAGCCCGGTCCTGTCCCTGCACCTCCCAAAAACACCCTTTGGATTTTTGCCCAAACCTCAGGAACAGCCTTTGCACCCGGGCCAGGCCTGGAGGAGTCCCAGAAACCCCCGAGGGCACCGGAAAAAAATCAGGAACCACAAAGGAAAAAATCAACGGGAAAAACCCTGTCCAACCTTTCCCTTTTCCCTTTCCCTCCAGGAAAGGCTGGAGATGATCCCTGGATGATCCTGGAAAATCTCCCCACCCCCAGCCCATCCCCTTTTTCCATCTCACCCCTCCCAGCCCCAACCACCCCATCCAGCAGATCCCAGAGCTGCCAAAAGTCCCCACGGAGCTCTGGGATCCCGCAGGGACGGGAATTCCAGCGGGGACAGGAATTCCCGAGGGGACACGGCCACCCCTCGAGCCCTGCTTACGCTGGAAGTCGCTCAGGGACACCATGGTGGCGGTGACGGGGCTGGGCGAGGCCGGGCGAGGGTGGCCCCGGCTCCGGAGTGACCCTTGGAAAAGCCCTTTAGTCCCCACGTCATCCTGGGAATCATTAACGGGAACGCCCACGGCGCCACCTCCGGGGGACACGGTGGCTTCGGGGGGACACGGTGGCTCCAAAAGGGACACGGTGGCTTCA